TGTAAAGGATTCAGCAGGAACAAGAACTTCTAATAAATGTTGGTTCTGGGATATTTAAAAAGAAAGTAAAAGTAAATTACATGCAAAACCTAAGAAAGCTTCTACAGTGTTCTCTGGAGCAGAAAGAAATAAAATACAGAATTTACATAAGATTGAAAGATGAGTCTTATTACTAATGGCAAGTACACACTTTTATGTTTAAAATAACTTTGTTTTATTGTTAACTATTGAGAGAATGTTCTTCTGTTTTATAAATCATATTAATTTTGATTTGATTTCCACACAAGCCTCCTGTACGAGTACTGGTGTCAAAAGTAACATATCTTAGTTTGAAATAGTCTTAACATACATTTGATGTCAGCTGTGAAGAGCTGGGATAAATAGATGTAATTTTAGTTAATAGGTGAATGCAAAAGAAATAGACATATCACCTCATATTTCCTTTGCTATCACTATTTATTTATTTGTATTAAGAAGATATACTGCTTTTATTCCACAATGTATTTTATTCCTCGCTTGCTAGCAGAAGAAAAGTATTTTAAAAAAAGTAAGACAGAGAAATATCCCTATAATTCATTCTACTTCTCCACTCAAAATCTTTGAAGAGAAACCTTGCAACTGTCTGCATATGCCACAAGTTCAAGACAATTTCTGGAACATTCAGGCTTTTGCTAAAGACCCATAATTTTGTCTTCATCCATTTAACTTCACAGTTTGGGGTACCTTTGAAGTGATTCTTGAACTTGTGCTTAAACCATAGACTTTAAGTGCTGTAAATCTGCATTCAAATCCAAAATGGTATCAAATTCTACAGCTTGCAAGATGAATTCAAGCAGCAAGCTGAGTAATTGGGCAGCAGTGGTGTGCTCAAAGCAGTGGAATTGCTGCTGCAGTAACAGCAGTTTCACGCTGGCTCTTGCATTCTGCTTATCAGCATCGTAGGCTGAGCTATGCTCCTCTTCTGTATCTTTTATGATTGAGTTGATGGACTTTCATAGCCTGTTTTCTGAAGAGTAGTTTGCCTCTCCAGTACATTTAAATTTTTTGTTTAACTACTGTTCTTAGACTACTGTGAAAAGTTAAAGGTGAGAATCTTGAATTGAACACTGTGTGCAAAAGCTTGTTCTCTCTTTTTACCCCTTCTCTTCCTCGCTTTCTGTACCTCCCTCCCACCTTAAAAAACCTTTTCAGAAAACCTTATGTCATTTTCAGCAAAAGACTTTTGGAACACCAGTTAAACACAAATCTTTAAGTTCTTTTAGCATTTTGAAAAGCTCCTTATGGATGAGAAGTGGGATTTATAAGAGCTTTTCCTGTAGAGTCACTTTTTTTTTTAATTCTTGACATTTTTTCTTTACCTTCCCCTTTTCTTCTTCCATGTGATTTGAAACAAACAAACAAAAACACCCTTCAGTCTAATCTTCATCTTCCATAAGCCTTGTACAAAAATATTAAAATATGTTTGAGGATTTTTGTTTGTTTGAGTTCTGGTGTTCAACTCCCAGACCTTGCCATGCCAGCAATGAGCCAAAGCAAGGGCTGGGACAACACAGCCCTAGTTATTCTTGCCATTCAGTGCTTCCATCTGATCTATGCCAGCCAGCCTTACAGAATTCTTTTTAGCTCTCAAGAAGTAGTAAGATGCTGAAGTAGAGAATACATTCTAGAAGATCCATTTCTAAGCTGAGCTAGTGCAGTTTTGTTGGGCACCTACTATCATCTACTTGAAACACCATGAGCAATCAATTTAAATTTGTTATTGTCACAGGGACCTGAAAATTTAATAAGCAATTACCAGAGTCTGTTACTTTGTTTTTAATTTGTTCTAAGATACTGCCCAATTTCAGACCTTAAAGCAATACTGCTCTCCAGAATATTTAATTGAATGAGTTTGTAAGTTAGATTGTCTCTTAACTGTACTCCTCCACTGATTTATTCAATGATTGATGTGGTGTTTTCTTGTGGAATGAGGAAAAAGTGAATCAGAAGTCAGGCCACGCCTATAAGGCGCAGCAAAGTATATCACATGTTGCCCACTCCCAAGTTATTTTTGATTGCTGTATTGTGCTGGTTTTCATCTGCATGTATGAGGAAGAAAAAGTCCTTCCGTGATTTGTAAAATCGTAAAATGCAGCTCTCTGCATTCTTCCATATGTATCTCATTGTATGTAATAGTTTTTTAGAGTTGATTAACCTAAAATTAAACTGAAACTTTCCAATATATCTTAGGAATTGTCAACTCATCTAAAATACTTTATTAAAACATCATAATGCTGCATTCAAGTAGAATTTATTTTTTTCTCTATATTTACATTTTACTCCAGAGATGAAACTGTAATTCTGACGTCCAGAAAAAAGTGTGTGTATCCCATCTTGGGGATATTTGTTTTTTCTCATAAATATGCCTGGAACACTTTCTCTATCCCGTATCTTCCTGGTTTTCTTCTGAGAAAGTCCCTTCTGATCGAATCAGCTATTGCCTAATCCTTGTGTTTCTCCCAAAATAATTTCTCATTTGTTTTGGTCTATTAGAAAAGTTCTTGGGAAAAATCTGTGCAATTATTACCATTCTTTCCATGAGCTGTTTTCTTCACTGCTTGAAATCATAACAACGCAAACAATATTTGGAGTTTCTTCATATAGTTCTGACGAAAACTCTGCGCATGGAAAAATGAAGGCGCTTTAGAGATAAGCTACTTTCTGCCCTCCTTCACTTTGGTGTCTTTTCCCCAATTCTTCCTGGTTGAGAAGAAACCTAAATCTTCCATCTTTTAGTTTAAAGCCATTCCTCCTTATCCTATCACTGCCAGACTGTGTAATAATTCAGTTTCCCTTCTGGTTCTAAGGTCCCGTCAAGAGCTGGAAGGCCACACTGAGGTCTCCCTGCAGCCTCGTCTTCTCCAAGCTGAACAAGCCCAGTTCCCTCAACCTTTCCCCACAGCAGAGCTGCTCCAGCCCTCTGCTCATCTCAGTGCCTCCTCTGGACCCGCTCCACGAGCTCCACATCCTTCCTGTGCTGGGGGCCCCAGGCCTGGACACAGCGCTGCAGATGGGGCCTCACAAGAGCCGAGCAGAGGGGGACGATCACCTCCCTCTCCCTGCTGGCCACCGCTTTTTAATGCAGCCCAGATGCTGGGCTGTGAAACGATTCTCAAATCTGTGACAAAACTGTCATGCATGACTGTAGTAGAAACAAGCAGAACTTGCTATCTAATAACAGAAATCTTATCTTTATTCTGTATTTATTTCACCTCTGCTTCTAATGGTAAACTATCCTGAAAAAGTAAATGAGTAAGCCAGAGGAGCCATCTCAGGAGGATGAATGCATAATACAAGCAGATATCCATTTATAAGTGGAAAACAAATGAGCGTTTGCTCTGTTATCTGTGCTTATTTTCAGGCAGTATGCTTTTGTTTACAGAAATACACTCATCCACAGTCCAGGGTGAGATGACTGTGGAATAGATAAAATGTTTTCGTTCTTATTGAAATGGCCTATATCCACTTGAAAAATGCACTTACAGTCTGGAAAAACAGAACACAACACACTCTTCAGAATGGTGGCCTTTGTTACAGCAGACAGAGTTCTCACTGTCCTGGTTTGCACTCAAGCTGAAATAACAGGAATGCATCCGACTAGTTTCAACATTTAACTTTCTAATTCTCTGTTTTCGACTACTTTTTCTAACCTCAAGAATGTGCTGAATATTAAAGTCCTAATAATTTAAGGCTAATATCAGTGTAGACTATTTTTTCAGGCTCATATGTTACACAGCTGAGAGTGAATTTTCTAAGTCCAGCAAAAATAATGCAAAATATGAAGCAGCATTTTATGGCACAAAAAGCACACAAAAGCCATTTATCCAATACTCATACAGATCACACATATGTTCATGGAAACACTTCCCAGTACACATTTGTTAATCAAAAACGAAAGCCCCAGAACTTTTGGCAAGATTTGTTCAAACTGCATTTTTTTCTTCTTGAAAAACAAAACCTGTCTAGATTATAAATGATGAGCATTAATCTACTTCTGAACCATCCTCTTGCTAACTTGTGATTCTACAAATGTCTCCCTCACATATATTACAGGGACCAAACCAGTGTGTTTGTAATTTATTCAGATTTTGCTTCAAATCAAAATTTAGAATCTTTCCTTTTACTGGCAGGCATCATCCTATTTTAAGAAGATAACATGAATCATAAATTAGTTTCCACAGTGTACTCAAAGAACTTCTACCCATCTATTATCTAACTGCTGGAAGCAAATCAATATATCAAATTTATCTTTGATATATATATATATATCAAAGTATATCTTTTTGATATATTGTAATATTTTGTGCACAGAAGCCTAATTTCTGGAAATAGAGGACTACATTAATTCTTCCACACTAACATCTGAAACAAACAGGCTACTGGAAGAAAATGTTATTACACTCAGTTTGACTTTGTAGTAGTGGACAGAGCACTGTTTTACCAGGTAGTCTTCTATACTCTTAGTATCTGCTTTTGAAAAATAATTTTATCAGTAATGATGGTGTAACAAATCACCAGCTCTTTCGTGACTAGAAAATGGCATTCAATCTACTTGCTACTCAAGAAAAAAATGATTGAAAGAATTGAGACTTTTGCCATGCAGAGCACATTCCTCATTAGTCAGGAAGTTATAAAATTAAGGTTTAACCTCATTCTGTCCAGCACTTGAAAACTTCATTAAGTTGAACCTGGCTTACTGAGCATGTATACACAAACTGATATTGATCTATGTAGAATATCCTGTACTCTTCTGCAATGTCAGAACTGTCTATAACAGAGCACTGTAAATATACCTCAGTAGATGCTACATATATTTCTGGCACAGATGTTAAATAACACTTTCTAGGTGTGGACAGAGATAATCAGTTCAGGAATAAACATATCTCATGTGATTTAACTTCTGATTCCCATTGAAAGGGAAAGAGAAATAGCATTTGTTGACTCTGCTTCTCTCTGAACAGGAAAAATTGGAACAGATATATTCTAAGCTCAACTTTTCTGTGGAAGAGTTGCTGCCTGGTGTAATGACGTATTAATAAATGATTATGGAAGTAATTTCTAGTGTGTATTTGTACTATATTGTGCTCACTTTTTAATCAAACATGTATTCAGCCTCTGAAAACTCCCTGGAGTAAGTATTTAGTTTGAATTGAACTGAATAGGCTAAGACAAGTTACTTTTCCCTGGAGCTGCTTCTTAATTAATAGATTCTCAACCTGTTTGAGATAATTGAAATAAGTAGGAAAAGAATCTGCTCTTTTGCTTAAACATTTTTTAATAATAAAATTTACTTCTGTTTAAGTTTTTTTTTTTTATAATATAGCTGTTTGTCACCTCTGACTTGTGGTTGAGTTGACCATACAGATGTGAAAGTTTCATTCCCAGATTTTGACTAGTTCAAATAAGTAAGTAAGAGGCATAGGTGAAAAGAAGGTAGCTGGTGTTTCTTTAAACCTGATAAAAAATTTGGGTCAACATTCAGGCAAAGATTTGGTAGTTGAGTCAAATAAAGACTGAGACACCATTTTCTCTTTGCAGGTATATTACTTACTAAGATAATTATTTAAAAGCTGGGAGATCTGTCTGTATGATACAGAGGAAAGAAATAGAGGAAAAAGAAGAACAAAAGAAGAAAGAATGGAAGAAAGAAGGGAAGAAAGAAAAAAAATGAAAGAGAAAAAAGAAAGATTTGATTGCAGAAACACCTAAAATGATCTTGTGACTGCATATTGCATGTTCTCTCACTTTAGCAATATTCATTTATCACTTTAGTATAAATTAATTAGTAATTCTGTCTATATTGAGTTTGCATGCACTATTTCACCATTAAGTATAATGCATTCCAAATGTCCTGTCTGGGCTATACAACTTTTTCATGAGTGCAGTAGACCCTCGACTGCATGCTTTTATCATTAAAATATTGGTCTGGCTAAAGTTCAACGTACTAAGCAGAAACAACTGTGTCTTAGTGTGGTGGAAGAGGTAACAACAAGTCACCAAAGAGCTGATCAGACTCCTTGATAGAAACTATCACTATGAAACCTTGGGATACTGGAGTGTAAAACAGGTATCTGTTTGCGTCTAAGGGTAAACAGGAGGTTCTTACTGCATTGTTAATCTTGTCATAATTGAGAAACCTGTCATCCTTTATCACTCTTGTTTGGGAGAAGCTGGGGCAATTAACTGATTAGAGGAACTGTTAGAGGAACAAGAACTTCTTTTTTGTAAGTGAATGGTATATAAGATGTATGTTGAACACAATAAAGGAGAACTGTTCTGATGCTACAAGAAACTGCGAGAGCTCTCTGACTCTACTGGGCACCGACATTTTAGATCTTATCTAAAGGAGGGAGGCAAATTTGATTTTTATTACGTCTGCTTAAGCATTTTAAACTCTTATGGTCTTTCAGAGCCTTGTTAGGTTTGCATAATATATATGATTTCAAAGTATAAACCTGTAAATTTCCTTGAAAGTCCAATACAACTTACGCAAAGTTGCTTTGATAGCCCAGAATCCCGTTTATTCATGGCTGCATGATTAATATGATAGTCATGACTGCAGTTAAATGAAATGAAACAGTGACATAAGTGATGTGATTTCTGTCTGTTCCTCTTCTGTCAAACTATTCTGAAATCCCAAAGATAGCACATATCAAGTTTTACATCAAATATTAGAGCATTGTCCATGTGAGTACTCTGGTGTATAATGACAAATGAGTTAGTGAAATAAGATGCAAGCACTGCAAAGCGTTAGGAAAAGAAATATAGTGCCCATCAGGATAGGAGCTGCTTCCAGGGACCTGTGATTCTGGACCAACCCGAACAGGAGCTCACACACAGCAGCTCAGACAGTCACTCATGATGCCAGACTGACATAAATGAAATGTTTATGTCTTATTCTAAGCACTGAAGTTCCATAGCAATATTTCAAAGTTAAAGTGAGTGTATTTTTTTCTTGTTTTTCTTTGGAAAAATGCTAAGAGCAGTGGTAATATGGAATTCTATTGCCAGTGGTGAAAGTACCTTGTGGGGTGTTTGGATATCGCCTGCTTTATTGCTTCCCTCTTACTGTGTATTCAGTGTTCATGATTTCTTCTGTGTACAGGAAGTGCAGGGCCTTGTATTAAAAATACAGTCCATTCTTAACAGAGGAATATTGTCACTGAGTAACCACAGTATGATGATTTCTGAGCAACTGTGGAACACAATTAAGCAGGAAGCATGATCAAAAAAATAAAAGAGTAACATAAAAAGCTGCCTCTATGGAGCTTTCACAGGTGTTATGAGGGTGGCAGTGCCAGAAAAATATTGCCCACGCTATCCATTTTTCATCAGCCTGAACGGGTGGAAGTCAGAAGGCAGCAAATCCTGAATAAATGCTGGCTGTGGTAAAACAGGCCAGCCAAGACTGACAGTGTGCTCCATAGTCTTTAAACTGCTATGTGGCCTGGCATTATCGTGTTGCAAGAAAAGGGTTGTCTTCTTCTCTGGCCTCACTGTTTTGATCCATCAGCTAGATCAGCATTGCAATACAGTGCTCTGAGTTAATGGTTTCTTTGGGTTCCAAGATCACTCCTTTCCTATCCCAAAGCACAGTGCACATCACTTTACTACTGAAGGCTGTATCTTAAACATTGTTTGATAGTGAACTTCCATGTCACCAGTCCACAGGTTGCCATTTTGACAGCAGCTCATAATGGTGACATAGCATCTCATCATCGGCAAATGAGGAAAATGTCACCTTCAGATTCATGTTGGTTCAGTAGATGCTGACAAACTTGCATATGGTGTTCTTTCTGTTCCTATGTGAGTATTCATGGCACTCAAGTGATGCAAATTTTGTGATATTCCTATATTGCCACCTTTGTCTCCAGTGCACTGAAGCTGATATTAAGCCTAATTCATACCTAATTTTGTGGTTGTGATGTGCCAGTTTGTGTGGATGGGCTGATGGAGCTGTTCTTTATTTTGTGGTATCACATCCGTGCATGGGCATGCAGACATGCATGGCTTGGCTTTCACATCTCCTGTCATCACTGCTGAAATGCACCACCCACCTCCTCAGTGTGATAACATCCACTGTTTGGTCTCCATACATGTTCAGCATACATCGGTGAATGTCAGTGGGGACAGCTTTTTTCTGCATGGAGGAATTTGCTGACACACCTTTGCTTCATCCACACTTCCATGTCAGATGTCATTTTGTCAGCCTAGCCCTCTGCTGCCATCTGTTTCACAGCAATAAAGTGTAGTGGAACGTTGGTGGGAAAGTCCAGACTCTGCTGCCATACCTCCAACATTCACTTCTGATGCCATGGGCCAACATAACAAAACAGGAGGCATTAATTTTAGGGATCTCTCATAGATATTACCTAGACTAACTTCCCACTTAAACAGGCTCTCAACTCAGAGGTTTGGATCTTTTTGGCTGAGGTAAAAGTTCTTGGGAATGTAGCATGATGAAACATGACAACAGTGAAATAGCTAGAAATGGAATTCTCTCTGGTGTAAAAACATAGAAAGAAAATAGAACTGTCCCCTGGGCAGTATTAAAGCTGCTTCCTTAGGAATTTGTTTCCTGCCTTACTTAATATATCAGTAAGCCCAACAACTGTTTATCATCCCTTCCCTTGCAGTGACTCTGCCCTTGTAGATCTTATTCCTGAGGTAGCTATGTGTTGGCTGCCCACTCAGTGATTTGCAGTGTTTAGCTAGCTTGCAGAGTGAGTTACTTGGCCAGCTGGCTGCTTCCAAACAAACCATATAATGGATATGGTTGGTTTTTTTTCAGTGTCATCTAGAACACTAATGTGAGTGTCTCACTTCTGTTTTTCCATTGATCTATCATAAAACTTCTAGAAAACTTTCACAAGAGGATTCTTTCAACCAGTTGAAATTGGTCAAGAAAATTAAAGTTTTGGTTGAAATTATGGACAGTGTGATCACGTATGTCTTGGTCTAATAGGAAACCAAATGCATAGTTTATTAATTCACTCTATGTATTAAGTGTAATTGATTCTATTGTTGGACTTGTTCAGTTACCTAAAACATATATCAGGAATATTGTAAGGCTATACTCAATTCCATCTTTCACTACTAAGAAAAAAAGTAAGTTTCCTCATGTTTATTTTATTGGTACTTTCATCTTTCTACTTGTAGCATTTATCAGTTTGTTTAAAGGCTTCACAAACTATCTCATAAATGTAGTCCCATTTTGTTCTTATTCACCCTAAGTGCTAGTGGAAAGTTCTTGGTGTAGTTGGATTCTTTGACAAATACGTAGCTCTTTATCTGTCATTTTTCTAGCTGCTCCTTCTCCATGCTAACTGTACATTTTATTTTAAAGAATACTTTTCCATTCTCTCTATCCTGCCATAGTCCCATTCACTCCAAATTCCTTATTTGATACATCATGTTGTCAACTTCCTGTTAAATTCACAGATGTGTTTAGTATTTTATCCTTCACTGTGTTGGGAAGGAGCTCTCCACAAACCTTCACAGAGCTGCACTATTATCACTGTTTAAAACAATGTTTTAAGACTTCTCCACAGCATTTATGCAAAATTTGATAGCAGAGTACTACTACAAGTCAATCAGACTGATTAGTCGTATTTTTCCTGTTTCCTTGTGTTCTTCATTCTATACATATATGTTATCTTATCTTCTACCCTGTCTGTAGAATACTAGTGTCAGACAGCACCCTTTCTCTCTCTGTGTCCTAGTGACTTCTCACTCTCTGCCAAGGGATATTTCAGCAAGATTAATATTTTTGCAAATAAGTAACTACTGGCAAGCTTAAAATGCACATAATTACGTGCTGTATAACAACAAGTGCTTTTCATCAAAGTTAAATAAAGTTCTGCAGAAATTTCCAGTTTGCACCTTACCCGGCATTCATTTCAGCCTCTGCTGCTCTCTCCAGGACATGTGTTTAAATGGAAACACTACTGTGTAATCTGAAATGTTGCTTCCATTATGACAGCATCAAATCTAGCCTCTGTGTCATTTGTACCTGTGAATCGCATGTATAGTAAGTTTTGGGTGCGGAGGGTGATGCTGTAATTGGTTGGTGGGATGGATGTTGTTTTGTTTTTAATAATTGACTTCAGCAGTCCTTTAGCTGTGGCTGGGCTGGATGACTCCTTAAAACTGTTCTCATTTGCAGCTGCCAACCATCATACTAGGCCAATAGAGCTGGGGAATGCAAGAAGCAGCACGAGGAAATCAAGGCCAGATTTTCTTTATCCTGGCCTCCAGCAGACCTATTTTGCTTTCTTCCCTATAACTATAAATAACACAGTGCAAATGAGCAGCAACAAACCCAGAGATATGGGTTGCTGCTCACTGTTTGTCAGAAACTAACAAGGCTGCAAGTAAGCAGATTCATAAAGAAACAGGTGACTTCTATTATTTCTCCCTTCTTTCTAGTATTCCGAATGCCTAATAAGAGTTTTGGCAATAAGCCTACATTTGAAATATGTATTTCTTCACGACACAGCTGCAACAATTGAGATTTGGTTGCTTGTTTTTCTTATTCCAAAGTAGTATCATGTGCTACAATTACAAAATGAATATGAAGGGTGCTAACTTTACCACAGCTGCACAAGTTCATCATGAAGAGTCAATACCAGGAAGGGGCTTGAATGCTTTAATAAATTGTGAAAGTGAAGCTAGAGAGAGATTGCTTCTGTCCCCAGACACAAAAATATCTTAATATGCTCTTTGCAGAAATGTATTTCATGTTACACTCTGAAAACTATTGTTAGCAAAGAGATTATATAAAGAAATTAGATTTATTTAAATTCTGTGAAATTGCTGAAGGACTGTGCTAGTACTAGATACCTCATCTCCCTCTGACCTGAAAAACTGAAGTCTTGCAATTATTTGTTCAATATGAGTAGCAGTATAGGATACAAATCAATGATAGTACTGTTATTGACATAGATTACTTAACCTAACACTAAATTCTTTGTAGATTTGTAGGTGTTTTGTGAGCTTATTTAGTTTTTCATTATATTGGATTCTGATTTGATCACAAAGACCCAAATTCCAGGCTTCCACTTTGTTTATTTTACCTATGTGGGATTTTAGATTAGTAGATTTAGATAAAATAGCAACAGAAAAAAGTTCATCTTTAAGAAGCTGAAGTTCATAGGGGTGCACAGTAAGATTTTTCAAGGGTTCTTGCCAATTAGATCTCATTTCATGAGAGGATAAAACACCTGAAAGTTTCATGCAGCCTGATTAAAGCAGAAGTTGCAAGTCCTATTGAGAA